CCCCTCCCCCTCCCCCCGTGCAGCAGAGTCCTTCCCTTGGCAGGAAGGAAACCTCCCGGGGGGTGGGGGGCGCTTTAATTAGAGCGGCACTGAGATCTGTTCGAATTAAGGATTAAGGTGTCTGTCCCTGGGCAGCTTTAGGCTCACACAGCTGTTCCCAGGCAGTGGTTGAAGGGCAGGAGCTGCAAGTGCCATGGGACACTTTTACATGTGCTTCAGGAGTTTGGGGGGGAGGCAGTGCTTTAATTAGTGCAGCTTCAAGAACCACTCTAATTAGAGTGCCGCTGTGTCTCCTGTATCGGTGTCCTTGCGCGTAGAAATGGCGGTGGGGGCACTTGAACTAAAGCTCATTCGATGAGCTTTATTATTAAATATCGGTTATCGGATCAGTATTGGCCATATAGCTGGTTAATAATTGGCTATCAGTATCGGTCAAGAAAATCTTTATCGGTGCACCTCTAATGGTTTTCCTTTGAGGCAGGGTTTCAAACCACCTTGTCTCACTACACATTATGATGGTGCGGAGATGGAGTTCTTTCCCCAGTTCTCCTGAGAGTCCTTGAACAAGTAATTTTTATCCTCGATATTTCCGCTTTCCCATCTGTGGGGCTATCATACCTTCCCCGCCTTTCTGAACTTCACCAAAGAAAGCTGCTTCAGGGCAGAGCAGTGTTATTACTATTGGCGCAAACCAGAGTTCAGTAAGAAACAACCCTCCATCAAAAAACAGTATTAAACCCCTTCCCTAGGTCAGCAAGAACCAATCTTTTGGCAGGCATGCCACCGATTAACCCCACACCCTCTCTTAGTGCCACCCTGATCCTCTTCCCCTGTCTAATCCATTGTTCTGCTTTCTGATTCCTGTCCTGTGCTCCCTGCTTGATATTCTGCTTTTCTTTCTGCTTTCTGCCTGGTGCTCCCTACCCAATCTCTTGTTCTGTTTTCTGCTGCCTATCCCCGCCTCGGTCTGCCATGTTTCACAGCAATGAAATGACATACAGACTATACAGTGACTTTTGAGAATGCCTGGCCTTAATCCTTTGGATAAGATGCATGATTCTGCAAGTTCAGTTTTCACTTTGCTGTCAGTTTAGTTGCTCTTTGTAAAGGTGAAGCTAGAAGCTCAGAGGCATGTTTGTCAGAAGCTCTGTGATCCCACTGCTCTTTGATCAGCTTGGTTTGGATTCAGGGAATGCAATCTGGAGGGTTTTCCCCCCTCCCCCACACAATCTACAGACAATTTTTATCTTGCAACAAAAAGAAGATAACAAGATAATGTTTTACTAGTCCAGTCGCTCAGAACAGCAAAATCATTGAGTGAATTGATTTTGATTTATTTTGATTTAAACACTATTTAAAAAGCTTTTACGAAACAAAGCTCCAGGCTCCTGAAACATCATTAATATTACAGTAATGAAAACAAAGCCACAGCAGCATTAAAAATAATTATGCAGAAAAGAAACTCCACCTACCTAAGGCCAGCTATCTAAGGCAGGGAAGAAGCCCACCTTCCCTCCCTTTTAGCATTCTTGTAAATAAGCCTGTAAGTTGTCTAACGTATATTTGGAGTCTAACATATCTTTCATTACCAAAGGGAAGCTTTGGTTGTATCAGTGTTACTGAGAGGGTTACTATGAAAAGTTGGGGTAGAAATCAATTGTGTGCACTGTATTCCCAGGCAACAGACATGAAGACGGGACACAAAGTGATTCTGAAGACCCAGTTGCCCCCAAAACCGAGAAGGAGACTGCTGGCAGCGACCGCACAGCTGAACAAGCCAGGCTTCAGCGTCAAATTCGACGTGATCCTCATGAGATGCTTCACAACAAACAGGCCTTTGTCATCGAGTTCTTCGACGATGACACACCTCGGAAAAAGAGGTCGCAGTCTTTCACGCACAGCGCTCACTCTTCCCAGAGTGACACCGACCAGGGGCTGAAGGCTAAGGTCGAAAAGCGCAAAACTGTGCCTGCTGAGAAGCTAGGGGGCACGGTGCCCCCTCCTCATGTGGTCACCCAGGTGAACAAGACACCCAGCACCCCTTCTGGGCCCACTCAGAGAACCGGCTACTTTAAGAGAGAGAAGACGGAGGATCGGATCAGCAGTTCATCCTCCTCCACTTTGAGGACATCTGCCAAGACATATGGCAGCGTTGGAAGGAAGTCTAAACTTGCTCAGGATTTTGCTGCCGAATATCTGAGAGAGACCTCACAAGCAGCAAAGCCAAGCATGGAGAAGCCAGCCCCTGCACCAATGGTTGTGGCTCCACGGGTCGTCATCTCATCAGCGCCGGAAACTGGCTGTGTGCCACCCACTGATTCGAAGCTGGCCCAAATGAGGAAGAATGACGAGGAAGACAGCTTGAGCGAAACGGGTACCTACACCATTGAGACAGAGTCACAGGACAAAGAAGTAGAAGAAGCCAGAAAAATGATAGATCAGGTAAAATCTCTTGTATAGAGAGGGTTGCTCTTGATTGGCAAACTGGAACTGAACAGGGGATTTCGAGACCTAAAAGCCTGGGCTGCTGCAACTGGCTCTGAAGAGGCCAAGACTTCTTAGCTGGACTTTAGCAGACTCTGATCCCGTGTGGACCAGTGCAGGGAGGGGTTTGTAGCATGCGCTGTCAGGGGGGCTACACTATAAAGTAAGTTGGAGAGGGAGGGAAGCAGCTGATAAAGTAGCTATAACAAATCCCATCTGAAAGCAGACAAGAGCAACTTTTATTCTTCATGTCTAAATAGGATTTGGGTACAAAGATGCAAGAATGAGCTTGCAAAGGGAAGAGCAAGAGCATACTCAGAGTAATGCTTAATATGCTCAGAATCTTGGTCCTGCTGAGGCTTGTGTGTGTGAGTACGTTGACATTGTGGGACTGCTTGCATGCCCGAGCTTTTGCAGTGTTGGGGGTTATGCAGTATGTCCTTTATGTCCCTTCCTCCTGTCCTGCTCCTCTGAATACATGGGATACAGCCCAAAAGATGACTGTGCTCTCCTCAATAAGCCAGAGGAAACTGAGACTGAGGATGGATTTTCTTTACTTGGGGAGCTCCAGTCACATCCTCATTTCGTGGTTGTGGGTATTTTAGTATTTAGCTTTGCTGAAGGGGAATTGTCCATCTGCAGGACAGATGGAAGCCACCCCCTGCAGGGAAGTAATGAAGTGAGTTCAAGCTCATGAAAGCTTTGTACGTGCCTGATTTTAGTCGGTCTGTAAGGTGCATCTCTGCCCTGCCTATCGAGGCCTGGAGCAGTCATGCAAGTGATTTATGCATGAGTTAGTTTAAAAGAATGCAAAATTAAAACAGAAAAATAAGGCAGTGGGAGAGGCTTTAACTATACAAAACAACCCCCAGATCAAACCAGGACTTTTTCTAAAGCTTGGCTGACTTCCAGGTCCTCAGCTGCTGCTTATTGTTAAAAGAAAATGGGCAAAGGTTATGAAACCAAATAGACGTGGAGGCAAGTATAAAATAATCCTGTAGCAGAATCAAGTTCCCAACCTGTACATAGAGCTGCCAGGTGTAACAGTGTAGCCTTATGGCTGTTACCATATCTAGCCTCCTGCTCAGTTCCTCCCTATTGTTTTATTCACTTGCCCATCAATTTTTTCTGAAATTGGATTTGAAACTAGGGCAAGGACTATCTGCGCTGGAACTGTGCACAGCACAAGGCCTTGATCCTAGCACACACAGAGTTGATCAAGGTAGTTGAATAGAAGAATACAAGTAATTATATATTTGCAGGGCGGGGGGCACAGGCAAATGCTATTTAGTTGACCTTAGTTCTGTTCTTGCCTCTGCCACAGATGGTCTGAGACCTTGGGCATGTTTCTAAAACAACTCTGTGCTTCAGTTTATAGGGGGTTGTAAATAGAGATTATATTGATTCCATCCTCACAGGGCAGTTGTGTAAATGACTTGTGTTTTGAATTGTTAATAGACTAGAGAAATAGAATTAGACCAGTTACATTATCAGTGCCACCTCCCTGACAGTGCTCTCACCAGCTTGTTGTCTAGCACTCTGTTTTTAAATGTCTCAAGCCTAGAGATGCCTTTCTTTCTATTGAAACTCTCTCCCTAGCCTTATAGTCAAGATCATTTTCTTGATATTCATCCCAAATTTCCCTTGGTAGAAAGTGACTCTATTAGCACAGATTACAACTTCCTTGCAGGGTGACTAAAACTTTGTGGATTTTGATTTCATGGTAATTTTTCTTCTCCCCTGCCCACAACTCTTTCAGGTGTTTGGTGTGCTCGAGTCTCCTGAGCTTTCCAGAATCTCTTCAGCCTTTCGACCTATTATAAAGGGCGAAAAAGAAGAAATGGTCTCTCACCAGCTTCTAATCAGTGAAAATGGCACGAGTCAGAAAGCACCTCTGTTCCAGGCATTCACTTCAAAAAACACTAGTGGGTCCCCAGGCGAGATGCAGGTATAGAAAGGGGAGATTTGGAGGAGGGGAGTGGGCATTTCTGTATGTGTCAAATAGGACCTCAGAGCAGTTTTGCAGCAAAACCTTGTTTAAAAAGACAGTGCATTTTTAAAATATTTTTATAGATGTCTTCAGCATCTCAAGGCAGTCAAAAATGGGTCTCTAGGTGGGCAAGTCTTGCTGACAGCTACTCAGAGCCAGGATCTGCTCCCACGCAGGGAGAAGGTAGTCAAGGTAAGTGCTATACTGACACCCTTTGGGGCACTGAAGGATTTATTTAAAGGTGATGTAAAAAGGAAGGACAAATGGGACTGTACCCTTTTGTTGTTCCTTTAAGAAGTATAAAAAGATATTTTGAAATGCTCCTTTATTTTCATAAGACATGTTTTCAGTTTTTAGTAAAATATTTTTTTAGGGGGGAAAATCTCTTGGTTCAGTGCTTGCCTTCCTTTGTCTAAGGTAAGGAATGTGTCCAGTATGCATCTGAGTCATCAAGAAGTTCTCACAAAAGAAAGGTGACAGCCATAGTTGACATTTAGGGCATCTGATTGGGGGAATAAAAACTTGAGGGTAGCAAAAATAACCATTCTTCAGACATTTCTTGTGCTTAGTTATGACGCAAAAAAGAAAGTAGATATCCAAAATTTTTTCCGTAGGGAATTGTATAAAAATGTGTGTATAAAAGTGTGTGTATGTGTGTGTGGCTGTCCCTCTCAGCTGTGTTTTGTTATGCTTCTCCCAGACTATGCCGAATGTATCAAGCTATCCTTGGATTTGATGGAGCCAGTATGCCGAAGGGGGGAGTACAGCATGTGGAGCTATGTTCAAGAGAGGGATAGAACAAAGTTGTACAGTTGTGTCCAAAACTGGGAATCAGTCATGCCACCCTTTAGATAAAAAGGAGCTTTTGTCCTCACTCCACACTGCCATGAATATCTGTGTCAAGCTGTTAAAAAGCTAGAAAAATCTCTTTGTACTAGAGATCATTTCTGCAACTTGGCACATTGTACTAGAATTTTCATCCTGGACTATGCTGTTTTGTTTTTTTATCTTGGTACCTTAAGAAAATTCATTTAGATTTAGGGCCAGGTACTTAGTACTCTGACCTCAGTGTGGTGCAGCATTTAGCACATGCTTAAGTGAAGGCATAAATCAAGTACATACTTAAGTCCTTCTCTATATTGCACTTTACATGATCTAGCCCTTAGAAAATAAATACAATATTTAGCACAGCAATTTATAAATGTCTTTTAATCCTCCTAGAAAGTGTCCCAGCTCGTGAACCAGGGGAGCCAGAGATCATGGTGCCTTTAAGGACAAGAAGGCTTCTTCCCCAGCTCCCTCCAAGTGATAAATGCGACAGTCCCACACCCACAGTTTTAATTTGCCAAGACTCTTATTCTGAAGTGTCAAAGCGGAACGTCATAAAGAGTCACACTACAGAAGCCTACGTGGATCCCAGCAGCCGACTGTTCATCCAAGAAGACTTGGATCCTGATAGTCTTAGTGATGCCAGCAAATCTGATGATGGCTTTGGCTTAGAAAAAGGCAGGAAGTACAAAGAGAACAGCAACATGCCTGAGCAAGAACGGCAGAGAGGGGAGGAGGGAAAACCTGAGAGCTGGCAGCCAGCAGCTCCACGGGGTTCAAATATCAGAGCTGTAAGTGAGACAGCATCTACTTCCTTCTACATTGGCGATGAAGCAGATGAAGTTGGAGTTCCTCCCAAGATCACCCTGAGCACATCTCATTCTCGAGCAGACAAAGACTACAAAGATCAAGTGTTTCCCTTCAAGGCAGCCAGCATGGTTGTTTCTGGAAAGCCACTGGTCAAAGATGTGAATGCCTACATCAGTGCAGCAGGGAAAATAGTTGTACCCCCTCATCAGAGTCTTCCTCAAGAGCAAGAAAACTTGGCCCCAAAGGAAATGTCATCCTTCGTTAGGCAGGAAAGTTTTACCAAAGATAAATCAAGCAGTGTTGTTCCTCAAAACAAACTCCCACATATTTCAAGTCATCCCTTGCTTAAAGATTTAGATTCTACTCGGTCAAACCGTATGGACTTCAATCAGGACACCCATCTTATCCTCAAAGATACTGAAACTGCTTTGGCAGCTCTAGAAGCCAAAATACTTTGTCAAAGCCAACAGTTAGAGCCTTCAGAAGTTGTTTCTGGGCAACTTGAAGACTCCTTATCTGGGGACTCTGATGTGGACACAGCGAGCACTGTTAGCTTGGTCAGTGGAAAAAATGTCCCTGTCACTGTCCCAAAACTTAATGCTGTCACCAGCTTGCAGAAAGAAAAATCTTCCTCTGCACCATCCATGCAAGACCAGGGCATCCAACCTACTGCTTGCGAGAGGTTATCGGAAAAGCGCAAGACACTTCCTCCTGAGACAGGAAGCCGAGTTGAAATGACCAAGCGTTTCCAAATGAAACGTAGCTCTGGGACACGTGGGTCTCTGGATTTTACAGATGATGAGAGGAGCTCTAGTCTTCCTTATTTGCCGGTTACTGAAACAGCGTCCTCTGATCAAGAGCATTCTGTGGCCAGGCCTACATCCAGGAGGAAACCTTTTACTCAGACCGTAAAAGAGGAGCATAGCAAAGCAACAGCACAGAAGATCCAGCAGGTTCTCACCAGGTCCAACAGTTTGTCGACCCCACGGCCCACCAGAGCCTCGAAGCTCCGCCGTGCCCGGTTGGGAGATGCATCGGATAATGAATGTGTTGATATGGAGAAAACAGCCTCTGGGGTAGAAACCACAAGCTCATCTTCTAAGCAATCCACAGAAGCTAAGAAACTGTCCAGGCTAGACATCCTTGCCATGCCAAGGAAACGGGCAGGTTCATTTACGGTGCCAAGTGACTCTGAAACAACACAATCAAGAACAGGTTTTTCTGGGCGCAACGCAGAGCTGTATCGGAAGCCAGTGGTGTCTGAGGTTAGAACTGCAGCTAGAAAAACTGCATCAGCTGCTTCTACCAAGCAGCCTTTCAGTAGAACTCGTTCTAGCAGTGTCAAATATTCATCTTCTTCCAGTAAGTACTGTGCTTAATGTTTCTTCGTACCACCGTTCTAGAGGCTAGCATTGCTGTTACAGGAATAGCAAGCCCAGTGGCTGGCAGCCTGTTAGGAGGAAGAATTGAAAGAAAATGGGATGAAGGGAAGGGTTTGCACAGATTCTAAGAATCAGTTGTCCCTTTTGAAGTGCCACAAATTGGGCACTCCTTTACTGAGCCACCAAAAGTAGACACTAATTTTGAAAATCTTGGCCAATTTTGGCGGAGAAAGAGAATACAAGCATTTTCCAGTGTTGCCTGAAGCTTCGCTGCCTGCTTTTGAAGATCCAGGGTATGTGCATTAGCTCAGCAGGAAAATTTGTCCAGTGGCAGCTGAAGTCAGTGGTGAGTGAGCATGTTAGAAATGGTAAAGCAAGGAATAAGCAAAGGTGCAAGTAGATGGGAGGCAGTTATGGTCAATGCTGTAAATTCAAAATGCTTCATGTTTGAGAAATTCCCTTTGCTTGCTTTTATAGGTCTAAAGTACAGTCTCTAAAATGTGCCCTATGTACAGAAGCTTCATACTTGGGTCCATATTTGAGGACCATAGAGCACATGATTCTGCTATGAGCTGTGCAGACCCATTGCCTGGAAACAGTATCCTGAACATTAATATTTGGCACATTTAAATGATTACTATATGGAATAAGGCACATGAGAGATATAGCAAAATAGTCTGAGATGGTTGTGAGCATCATCTGCACTTTAATGTGATGGCCTTCTGGACCTTCCTAGTTCCAGCAGGTCAAGGAACTAAGACTGGTAACAGTTGGTGTCAGATCCCTTAGGCTTTTATGGAGGGGAAGCAAAGAGCTTTGTTGTCAGTGAAATTTGACTGGAGCTGTTAGACTTGTGGCTTCAGCCAATCTGTTTTCATAAGTTGTGTCAAAGGCCCTTGGAGTTCTTGGTAAGTGGCATTTTAACCTTTTTTTGTAAGTTAAATTATTATTTGTCCTTTTAGTGACATCTATACTCTGCATTGCATGCTAGAAATGTATTATATAATGCTGCTTGTTTTTAATTTTTACTCTTTAGCTTATCAAACTTCCCTTTTATCTTATGGGGAGGGGGTTTTTTACGCCTTTCATGCAAGTCTGTCAATGCAGAGTCTGAACAAGAGAATATACGTGGCGTTTCCCCCTGCTTTTTCTGAGAGGGTGCCGCTAGTTGCATTCTCTTTGGTTAGAACATTGACAAATCCAGAGCAATGTAAAATCATTGTAGTTCTCCAAACAGCAGATGGATACTATCCTTACATTGGATCACAGACTTCAGATATAAGAAAAAAAAAAAAAAGAAAAAAACAAAATTGTTGACCGCCACTTGTGCTAAATGAATTGGTTTTTAGTTTCCATTGCTTTTTAGCAAAGTACTAATAACTTTTCCTGTGTTTTAATTATGGTGGATAATTCTAATTCTTTCCTTTAAATTAATTACTCTAAAATTTTAACTTTCTAATTCTTTGATAGGCTTCTGGACCTTGCACAAGTTCTACATAGACTGGGGTTGTATAGTGCTGTACATAGTGCTTAATATGTGTTTTTGTACTAATGATGTATTTATTGTGAATGAACAGCCAGTATTGATTCTAGGACTAAAAAAGAAACTTATATAGGCTTAAATGTTATGTTGTCAAGGCATTTTTACTGTGATACAATAACAATTTAAATTCAATGTGCTTTGACACAAGATAGTGAAATGGATGAAGCAGACTTGCTCAAGGATGTCTTAAAATGCTTAGCTAACAAAGATTACTTCCAGCCATTCCCATGGGAAAATTAATCTTACCAACAGAGAAACAGAGTGAGATGCATGACCACAAGACATAAGATGCCAGATTATTGCTAGGCCATCTTAAAACCACTGTAAATGAGTTTTCAGGAGATTGTCAACATAACTTCAAGCATATATTCTAAAAGCATGAGGCCAGATATATTTTTTTGCATTGGATTTATGCAGCATAAGTCCAATAATGTCAGTAGACAAATTTCTGATTAATGCTGATACAGGTGAAAGGAGAATTGGGAATGCAAGAATAACCCTCTGATTCTCAAGTTTAGTGACTTTTTTTTTTTAAATTCCTTGAATTTGAATTGTGAGCAGATAGATTTTTTCTGTTAAATTTGCTCCTGATTAGAGGGCTGGAGTCAAGGTAGTCATTTGTTTTGGAAGCATTCATAGTTAAATAGTGACTGTGTGTTTGTAGTTACTATCCATATTTTGTATGGCAAATATAATGCTTTCATTTAAACTACATAAGCTATGTCATTGCAGTGGTGTTGGCTTTATTAGAATGCAGTGGTGTGGTGTTTCAATCTTGGTAACAGTGAAGCTTTTAAATGAATTCAGATCACACTTTGTCGTTTTAAATACACTGGCTGCTTTTGTGTTCTATGGATCCTCACGCCAGCATGTAAAAAAGGAAGAAATTGTTGTTAACAACTATTGTAATAGAATATGAACAATCAAACAAATCCTGGGAGCCCAGTTTTCAAAGGAAGGCATCTGACCAACATCATACTTAGATACCTAAAATAGGTATTTGGAGTCTGAACTACTTGCTTCAAAATCTCTTAGAATGAAGAGAGGTTTTTCTCTTCACTTTAAGGACCTTGGGGCTAGTATTAAGCGTTCCTTTTAACACTTCAGCAAGGACTTTGAAATCCTATTAAAGAATGGTAAAATGGAATGGAAATAAATGCACATTTTCACAAAATGAGACTAAACAGTACAGAAATCTCACTTTTTATTTTTCCTGCCAGCTCTCCTCTAAGATGCTTAGCGCACTTGAAAATTGGGCTCTCTGTAGAAAAGATTTTTGTGGGAGATTTCTAGGAATCTAACAAATTTATATGGAGTTTCTGCGTATAGGAAATGAGGCCACCCAGAATCTTTATGCCTGCTGTTGTTAATACAGATGGTACACTTTTCCACTGGAATTTTTTAGCTTCAAATTTGCAGCATTTTGGCAAAGCCATTAAAAAGTGTGAACAGTTAGTTCTAAAAAAAACTCTGGCCAACCTTTCCTTGAACAAAAAAAGATGCACAGAAACTCTTCAGACCTCTTCTCACATTCTTGGGCTAGGTTATATTACTTTGTGTGTTGCTCTTCATAGTTAGTCCTACTACTTTTCTTCATCTGAAACCAATTCATTTCTTATAAGCTTCAAGGAGGAGACTGCAGGGCTCAGATTACACTTCTACTTCCGAGGAGGAGTATGGCTCAAACCACAGCTCCCCTAAACACAAACGCTCCCATACTTCAACAGCTACCCAGACGCCGCGGACACGTGGTTCTGGGCTAAGCCGACAGAAGCACAATGGGAGAGAAACGGATGATGATGAAGACTTTGATGAAGCTGACCCCTACAACTTCATTGCACAAACAGCAGAGATAGCGGAAATTGCCAGGTGAGCTGGAATGTGATGCGTCAAGCCACTGTCAAAATGCAAGTTACCTACATTGAACATACCATCGGAGGTGGTTCAAGCACCTACATTGAACACCTTCAAGAGCAAATTGGATGCTTATCTTGCTGGGATCCTATGACCCCAGCTGACTTCCTGCCCTTTGGGTGGGGGGCTGGACTCGATGATCTTCCGAGGTCCCTTCCAGCCCAAATGTCTATGAAATGTGTGAAAGTCTGTTGGGTTACCTGGGTGTTTGAACCAGACGGGAAAGAGCAGCGGGATTATCAGCATTACAGGAATGAATGTGGTTGGCGAATAACTTTTCACTTGATTCCTGCTCATCTGATCTTTTTTTTCCCCTTTACATTGAAGCATTTAAAAATACAAATATATAAATTGAGATTTAAAGGAATTAAGCCTTACAGTACTTGTAAGGTAGGTAAGTGATATTGGTGGCCTCTTCATATCGGATGTTATACAGAGATAATGGGGATATGCCTCAAAATCACCGTCTGGGCAGATCTGGGAATAGAACCCAAGAATTTTGATCTTAGTCCTTTGCCCTGACCACTCAAACAAATTTCTTTCCTTCTCTTAAATCACATTTAAATAAACAGACTTTGAAGCCACCGAGAGCTTGTATGAAGTAGGTTCTGGAGCCATGGTGGCCATTATATAATGAGATCTTGTAACTTGGAAATGCCTGGCAGTGCACTGCTTGTCTAGGTGTGATATTGCACAATTGGATTATAAAAATGCTAGCTTTCCAGCCTTATTAAAAATTATTTAAAGAGTGCTAGCTTTCCAGAAACACAGTAGAACTGAGATCATTCGTGTCCAGATGGTTTGCAATCTGTCGTAGTAAGCAGCTGGGGCACTTTGTCAGTCCCTTGCAGATGTTAGCTGCAGCCCTGTATTCAGATCCTTTGCAAACCCTCATCTTCACCGGGGAGCGGAAGGAACCTAAAAGTATCCAGGTTCTACTGCGTAAGAATTAGATTTTGGCTGCCATGGGTTAAATACTTTCAGTTTAGGAGTCCTGTGGCCTGCAATCAGTCTTCCTATGTTATCTGTACTCTCTGTACCACTTGTCTGCAGGGATTTTTCCTTTAATAAGTGATGTTTATAAATAATTTCAACTCAATTTAAAGCTTACAGCATTTTATGTCCCCAGTGCTGTTCGATGAAAGGAGAAAAAATTGCCTTGTTGCTTCATAGCAAGATTTCTTAGGAGAGAGAGAAAGCACTTTAGATTGCAAAAGCTATAAATAAGAGGTTGCATCAGATTTGTCTGGCACGGCACATTGAACACTTTCGGGAGAACTCGGTCAAGTAGTCTGGCTCATAATTGCAGCTCTGATTTCCGCTGCTGCTCCTGAATTAACTGGGAGTGGTTTAAACTTGTCAGCAAGCGTTAAAAGAAAAAATTCCCTTTGTTTACAATGAGCGTAATCACATAATTGATGAATCCGATCACAACCGTTTCAGAAACGGACAAGTGCAGTTGCTTTGTTAGACATGCATCTCATCTAAGTATTATTTTAATTAGTGCAAATATACAACTTGTTTCAGAGGAAGTTCCTTCAAAATATTTTGGTGACCTCATGATTTTATTCCATTGCCTGACTAGTCAAAAAAACACAAAACATTAAAATGAAAGTAACCAGTGAGGGGAGATTTTATTTTTTTTAGGGGTACTGTAAAGATAAAAAAAAAAAAAACACAGCAACATCAGCTTTTTTAAAGCTGTGTTGGTAACACATACGATTGTTAGACATAATTTTTGGAATCTAAATCAAGCTTTGAAAAGTCAGTGAGGTTGGGTGTCCTCATTCTTAGGTGCTAACTGGAGCTTCCCGGGGCCCTGTGTTCTGGAATATCAGGTCCTTCTAAAACGTCTGCTTCAGGATCCTAAATCGCTAATCACTCTTGAAAATCTAAAGGCTTAGTTTGTTATCAGGCCTTTTACTTCTTTCATCTTGTTCAGTTTTGCTTTATGAGTGCTCCTACACAAGAACAGTATTTACCTGTGGGAGCTTTGAGAAGTTTACCATTGTTCTGGGGAGTCTGGTTCTTCACACAGGGGGAGGGGAAGGGTGTTTCAGGTTTTGAAGTCATTGAAATCTCAGAAGAACCTATGAAAATATTTTTTGCACTAAGTTTTTGTCAGTCTCCCGTTTTCATATGCATGGCTTTTAAAGTATAAAGGGGTTCATTTGCGGACCTTAAGGTTGATCACGATTCTAAAATAAAGCCCTTTATTTATTGGTTATCAATATAACCAAGCATTTCCTGGTGTTACATAGAGCTAGTAGGATGGGCCTCCTTTGAAAACATTATGGTTTTGAATCCCCTTCACTCTAGAGCAGGAGCGGGCAAAATGCAGCCCGTGGGCCAGATGTGGCCTGCCAGGCCATTCTATCCAGCCAGCAGGGCCCCGAAAAAATTTAGAAAAGTTAATATTTATCTGCCCCGGCTGCCTGTCATGCAGCCCTCGATGGCTTGCCAAAACTCAGCAAGTGGCTCTCTGCCCGAAATAATTGCCCACCCTTGCTCTAGAGCCCAGGTGTCCACTACTTGAGAGCCACTAGATGATTGCTGACTTCCTTTTACCAGATGCTAGGATTCGGAGGAGGCCATCGCAAGAACTGAAAGTGGTCTTGGGTGTGCTGAGTAACTTGGTGCCTCCCCTTAGCACAGGGGTGGGCAAAATACAGCCGCTGCCCCTGTCTGCAACAGCTCACCCAGATTCCTAAGTGGCCCTCGAGCCAAAATAATGGCCCAGCCCTGCCTTAGCATGTCTTGCTGGGTAGTGCTTCTCAGAGCACCCAAGAGATGGCAGCAGTGCCAAAAGTGTCTGTTCTGCCTTGGGGTGAGACCCAAAGCTCATTGTAGCCCCAGCAAAGAGATGTCATTCATATAGCTTTCAGGTTTTTGGTCCAATAAAGAATCATTTGTAGCTGCCACCGTACGCTAGTAACTCTCAGCAGGTTCATATAAAGTTCGTTGGAAGAGACAATGCTGTCTAATGGCTCTGATTGTGCTATGATATGTGCTACAGATTAAGCCAAACCTTGGTGAAAGATGTAGCCATCCTTGCTAGAGAGATTCATGATGTCGCTGGAGATGGGGATTCTCAGAGCTCTTCAGGAACTGGACCAAGTACCTCCCACAGTTCAGTGCCCAACACCCCTGCTTCTACCATATCAGCGAGGGAAGAGGTAAGAGAGCTGAAAGGGCAAAAATCTCAGCCACAAAATTAAGGGAGAGATGGGGACATTTGTGTGATGAGTCCAGGGGCTACAATGCCAGGCACTGGGGTGGGGAGGAAAGAGAGGACAGCAAAAGAACAGTGTTGATCTATTGCATGTGTGTTTTGTCCTGGCTTCTCTCTGCCCGGGCCAATTTACACTGAGGAGCAAGAATTTTTCCTTGGCTTGGCTCAAAGCACACAGTTCCCTGGCAGATTGTGGCAGATTCACTCAGTCATGGGAAAACAACAGTCTAATTTTAGTGTTCAGCAAAAAGCACAGTCTTTTGGTTGAAGGGTAAAGGAGTATGCTTCAGGCCTTGGTCTGGGAATCTTTCCGGATTAGCAGATGTAGGGGATAGGTTTCTGGGTGGTATGAGCTTGGCTTAGTGGCCTTCTGTCTCTGTAGTCTCACTGAACCATGGAGCATTGACTTAGGGGGAGAGGGAAAGAGAATTCTCCCTCTTAATGTGTCTAAAACAAAGGTGTTGGCAGTAAGCACTCTGGATGTTTACAATGTGTGCTTTTTCTTAGCAGCAGGCGTATCACCCATCCTTGTGGGCTGGATCTGGATGTGACAGTGGTGGCCTATGGGGAATAATGCAGCCATCAGTCACCTCTTACCCCAAATGCCCAGCTGCTCTGGGAGGCTAGACAACACAGTGCTCTGGGCTGGATTTGGCTCAGAGGCAGTACATTTGACAGGCTTATTCTACAGCACCACTCCTCCAAATGTTTCCAAGTACTTTGCAAATGTTTAAGTAACTCCCCCTCTGTGTCCATACAGTTTTGCCCAGGTAGGACTCCTCTCCTACTGAAAGGCAGTAGGCCGAATAATTTCTCTAAAGCAAGACTGGCCTTCTAGCTCATTCCCTTTAAAAGGGATTTGACTCTTCTCTGCTGATTTCATGGGCCCCCTATCCCACCAGCTCTAGAAGTTCCCTTTCAGATTGGCTTCTCTTTCCTTAAAAATTAGGGATCATGGTATATGCTGGTATGTACTTATATTTTTACATTTAAACCAAGGCCTGCTGTATTCCTGTTAGTGGAGGGTCCACACTGTCCAAAAAAAAAAAGAGGGCATGTTCTTAACTCAGGTTAACTGATTAGGATTAAATAAGTAGTGAAAACTAGGACAGCCAAGGGGTCAGTTTGGTTTGGCAGCTAAAGGTCAACCCCACACTCCTCTATGGGCCCCATTTGCTAACCTGAATTGAAACCAAAGTCTTGTCTTCATTGCTGCTTTAACCTGAGTTAGCTGATTTGTATTAGCCAACATGAGTCAGAAGTGCACCCGTCTGTATCACAAGCAAGTGGAGATTTGAATACTAGTGTTATTGGAAGCCTAACTATGGGGTATCTAATTTTATGCATTTTATAAAACAGGTTCAAAGAGGTGGGCAAAATTATGGCTTGAATGAGGGTAGTACCTAGATGCCCCACTGGAAGGACCCACTGCATTTACTTTGGCAGGCTCATGACAGAGTTGAGCCTGAAACAAGGTACAGTTAGTATTGTCTGCACTTGCAGTCACACCAGACCCAACTTGTAAGCAGTGGGTATTTTCTCAATGCAGCCTGAGCTGCCATCTCTTGCGTGCAAACTTCAGTTGTTTCACAATACCCTCGGGGTGCAAGATAAAGACATCTTTATTGCTCTACTTGAATAAGAGGGCTGCACCTGTAGAACTTTTTTTTTTTAAGCAGCCAAGCAATAAATGTACCATTTACTTCCCAGTTTCAACTGAAATCTTTTAATGCCTGTGAGTAATGGATAAAACCCACTTCCTGACATTATGGAGGCACATGCCTGTTTTTATTTACATGGTAATAGTAAGAGGTGGGGCACTTTGCTGAGATGCTTGACAGACAAGTTCCCTGTGATGAAATCAAGGACAACTATGAAGTAGATGGGGGGAGGAATAGAACCAAAAAACCCATTGATGCAGTGGCTGTGCTTAGCAGACATCTTGTGTGATCCAAGGTTTTCATTCATGTTTTTGAAACTTGGTCAAATGGAACAGTTTTGAAGGGGGCCCACGAGACAAAGATCCCTGGTGCCTTGCTGAAAGCCAGCCTTTAAGAAGTGAGGTGCAAGTGAGAGGGTGTCTCACTCTGGAGCCTTTAACATATTAGAAATATTTCCCCCTAATGTCTTGCTAGCTAGATCACTAGTTCTTCTTTCTCTTTCCCCCAATCAACGCTGGAAGCTAAACAAGTTTTTCCCAGGAAAAAGGAGGGATGGAAATTTTTACAAACCCCTCCTGTTATTTTTTTTAACCTGCTCTTGTCAGTACTAGAGAGCGCAAGCAGGAGTCAACTAAAACCCTTTTAAAGACTTTTGACTCGCTCCAAATGAGTTTAGATGGTACAATGTTCACAACAGTGTCAGCAGCTGGCTGGCTAATCATATTGGAAGGCCAACTATTACAAATGTAGGTGGAGCCAAGCTACATTCATGGGGAAATAGAGTAAATCAGTGGGATTTTCCAGTGACTTCACTGCACGGTTGAGGAAGCTATTAATGCTGAATGGCTTGATCTTTGCTTTACATTACTCAGGAGCACTATATGCAGACTCAGGTGGGATTTAATGAAAGTGCATAATATTTGTAGGAAATTGGATTAAAAGTAATAGGCTCATGCCTTGAGGGGAGCGAAGGGGGTGTTAAGCAAGCTTCATGTGCTGCTAAATCCCTGCTGAAATGATTATTTTAGCTTAATGCAAGAAAAGCAAATAAGAGATGTCCAAAGTTCACAAGAGAGGGATGCCAAGCAATGTTAATCAGGAAGTATTTATAAAGCAGCTTCATGTTAAATGCTACGTGTGAAGGAGCAGACAGGGGCAGAGACACTTGGATAAGCAAGGCATTATAATTGTATGAAGTGTATCAGAAGTCTGCTTGAGAAAGGACACGGGTAGTAAGCATGTGCAGAAATCGAATTCTACCACAAGGAACCCACTGGCTTATACAAAGGCAAGGGTTGGTAACCTATGGCCCACAGGTTGCATCCAGCCTGCAGAGCCTTTTGATCCAGCCCACGGACATGGGGCTTTGGTGTAATCGGGCAGCAGGGGCTTTGGCAGCAGTTGCTTTCCCATTGCTAGCATAGGGAAAAACAGCAGCAGTGGGTATAGGGGAGAGCAGCAATGGTAGGTGCTTTCCTTGCACCCATGCAAGGAAGTAATGGCAACCGTGGTGCTCTCCCTGTGTTGAGGCGGTGACAGCAGGCACAGGGAAAAGCAGCACCTCTGTGCACCTGCCAGCCTGTCCTCAGTCCTGTTCTCAGCCTTAAAAGGCTGCCTACTGCTGCTAAAAGATACTAATTGGCATCATATAGGCAAGTGGATAGGGAAATGGCAGAGCACAGTGCTTGAGAATTAATCCAGTTTATGCATCTGGGGGTTCTAGGTCCCTAGACATTGACATGATTTATGCTGTGATGGTTTGAAAGAGCTCGTTATCATTGATCTGATCATTTCTACCGTTCTAATGCCCTTGCCACTGCCTCTGCCAGCATAAGGCACTGTACGCCTTCAGACTCCTAATAAAGTTCTGCCCTGTGTTGTTCAGTTTTAATCTACAGAAATGTAGTATCTTGAATGTTGTGTACTCTTCACCTTGCATGAAACAGTCATGGATGGCAAGTCCTTTGGGAGCTATTAAATAGAATAGTTACCCTCTGACATCCCTAAACCAATGATGGCTAATGCCCAGAAGGGTATGATAGGATGGATCACTGTAGGCAGGCCCCATTCATATCTTGATCTAAAGCTTCTACTACTTGTTGGAGAAAAGATACTGGGCTAGAAAGACCGTTGGTCTGATGCACAGTAGCACTTTTTTTCTTATCTCGTTCCTTTTGGCTGGTTTATAACCCATGCCTTGCAATGTAAGTATGTGAATACTATCCAAGGCTTAAGCTTCCCCACTTCTTTTAATATTATTCTTGCAAGCTCTATGCTATCCCCATCCAAAAGCCAAAGGCACTGTTTAGAGTCCATGTTCTCTGCTGCCCAGAGTGTTGACTTCAATCAAGGATAGTCCATTTTAGTGTCATCTATTTCTTTTAGATGTAATTGCAGAATGGTCAAAAAAATCATCTCTGAGGAGTTGGTTGGTGAATACATTCTCAGTATGCTACAATGCAAGTTGATATGCTAGGACTTCCCATGGACGCATGTTGGCACATTTTAACATGCATCCCCTGGAATGCTCCTTTGGAATGCCACCTGCTCTGGTTGATACTGTACACTTGCTTTCTTGGATGATTGCTATCAAAGTCATTCTGTCAGCATTGATTTCTTTGTCCTGTTTGTTTCTGTTTTAACACAGATTGCTCGTAGATCTTTACGGCCGGCATATCCATTTCAGGTGCAATTTTCCATCCCATTGTTTTGTATTGCTGTTTCTTTTTAACAGTGCTGTTTTTCTCTTTACTGTCTCAAAAAGTTCGTCTAAGTAGCTTGATCCATTTTAACCTAACAAAGTAGTTTGTCTTATGTGTGTGTGTCTGTGCATATACGTGTGCCTTCTTTTTACTTTTATTCATTCTATTGTTAAACATTTATCAATTATTTTATTGCTTTAATTTTGCCTTTTCCATATATTGCTTCAGATAGCTTCAGCTTAACTTAAATGCTGTTTTTAAGGTTGCATTTAATCTTTCAGAGCATGACCTAGTAAAGTGTAAAATAGGCATTGTGAACAGGTCTGACTAGGGAATTATTATTTTTTAGTTCTGTCCTGAATTCATAATAGGCACACATTTTGCTTTTAAGTACTGGCTAAAGGCCCTGGTATTGCAAATCCTGTAAGTTTTTATTTATTTTTTTTTTTCCATGGGAAACTCCCAGGCATGTGTAACTGTTCGCAATATTAAGGCCTAGGTGACTTGCTTCAGAACCCATTCCTGCTTTGGAAGGGTTGGAGCTGGGCAGCTGTCTTTTGGGGCTTTTCTTAATCTGCAGTGCCTTCAGCAACCATCTCTTTGTCCATCTTGTGGGGCTTTTTTCCCCTTTTAAATCCACGTGGTGGGTAACTTTGACTGATTCATTGCTTATTATTTTCAAGCTGGTGCAGCACATTCCAGAAGCAAGTCTGAACTACCAGAAGGTGCCTCCGGGGTCAATGGAACTCAAGGATTTTGATCAAAACATGAATGATAACAGAGAAGAGGATCCTTCACGAAAAACGAGGACGAGAAATCGAGAGGAGGCAGGGTTTTCTGCTTTAATTACAAGATGGCAAATAATAATACTGAGGTTTCAGCCTGTGTATCTGTGTTTTTGAACCTGCCAGAAGCAGTAATTCAAAGAACTCAACCATTCCAGAGCCCCTGACCTTTTGTAGCCATAGAAATATGATTAAAATAATCCCTTATGCAGGGGATATAGGACTCGAAGGAGCCTCCTGGGCTATTGAGTTCAGTTCCAAGCACTTGCAAACAGCTTTTTACGCAAGCATTCCTCCAGATAAGTGGTTCTCAGCCTTTTTTGTACCAGGACCCATTTGTAAACATCAATGGCTAGTCCCGACCCAGTGCCCCTCGCTCCCGACCCACTGCACCCACACCAGGCCTCAGATCCCTAGTTTGTTGGGGCAGGGGGTGGGTGTGTAGAGTGGGGCGGGGGTTGTGTGTGGGACATGGGGGCCCCCAAACAGACCCTTGCAGGCTGGAAATCTGCCAGTCTGGAAGGGCAAAGCCACAGTTTCCCACATTTTTCTTCTTTAAAGGAGAATCCATTTTTAAAGTTTGTTCACAGCCCTTTCATATATTCTTTGGACCCACCTTTGGGTTGAGACCCATGGGTTGAGAAATGCTGCTCCAGATCACCATTTCCACACACAGCTTCACGGGCCAAAACCAGCATCACCAAGAATGCCGTACAACATGCCATCAATAAAAGCAGGGGACACAATAGCATGGCTAGTGTCCTGCTGCTGCACTGATAGAGAAGTAAGTGGTTTTCAGGATGTGCTTAGAGCAGCGGTTCTCAAACTGCGGGTTGCGAGCAGCTGTGCGTGCCACCCACTTCCGCTGCTGTGTGGGAGCGCAGGCAGCCCCCACCCCTGGCTCATTGATCGGTTGCCGGAGGGTCACAGCAGCTCAAAGTTTGAGAACCCCTGGCTTAGAGGATCTTAGGAAGAGAACCATGTCCCACACTACAGAGGAAGGCAAAAAAAAAATCCCTCAATCCTTGCTACTTTGACGGTGGGGGAAGGCTGCGTAAACGTTCGCCTTGTGTGGAATTCTGCTAGGAAAACCTAGGAAGATCTGGAGTGAGATTTTTAATACTTATTGCTGATTGTGGTGACTCATTTTTGGCTGCCAACATAACACCATCTAGAGAGGCCTCCTTTTCAGTGCTATGTGAAAATTGGGCCTTTCTCTTTCAAAATGCCTCAGACTCAGTACCCACAATAAGTTAATCACTTTTGGAAGTCTTGGCCCTGGTGATGGTTTGGTCCCAGTTACTGTTTGTGGCTTGAGATTTTGTGTTTGCTGCCCAAGTCACTGAAACTGCTGATGGACCAAGGTCCCAGTGAGGGACAGCAGAATCTGGCCCTTCCTACCTAGCTTTTGTGCTAATCTGGAGTGTTCTGGTGCTCCCAACTTCTTGTTTTCATTCGAGTCTTCATTGAAACATTACTCCATGTCCTGTCCCCAGTGGTGCCTCCTTGAGGGGTAAAACACAATGTGTGAATGGGACGTGCTGGTTGCAGACTTATCTAAGGTTGGCAAGCCAGTCAATTGACTGGTCAAGTATTGTCAATTGACTGCATAATTTTGACTGGTCAAAGATCAGTTTACAAAACAAACTACATTTTTTTTTGTATTTTTCTTTACAGAAGTATGACTTTTAATTGGATTTTTTTGCCACATTTCATAATGGACAATTTGTGTGTTTCCTGTGTATTATGTGGACCTATTGGCAATTTTTTACAATTTTTGATCAGTGTTTGACTGGTCAATTGACCAAATGTTATTTGATCAATCAAATACCCAACCCTAGACTAATATGAGGTCATTTGCTTGAACTACAAATACATGGGAACCAGTGATATATAACATGCGTTTTGTGTGCTTCTGGCTAGATGTGTTGTGAATGTAGATGGCATAGGCTGATGTAACAAGAATATAAAGCATTTCTTACTGAGACCATGAATACTGGGTGGTAACCAGACATGATTGTTTGTTAACATAAAGTTGTAGCATTACTTTAACAGCTTTGGTCTCAGAAAACCAACTTGGATTTGATTTACAGTAAAGCTATAAACTGTTTTGTGTATGGTTTTTAGTTGCTTGTTTTGGCATTTTAAAAGCATGGGAGGTCTTTGGTTTTAGAAAAAGAGACGCTTACCCAGTTCTGAACCCAGAAACAATTCTGCAGGCCTCTGTTCCTTGACTCTTAAAATAAAATCTTAGCAGATTAGTGCTAATCCTCTCAGGGAAGTGCTACAGCAAAGCTGTATTCTCCCTCATCTCCCTTTGAACTTTAAATATAGATGAAGCCTCCCTTGGAATTATGTTCTGTCTAAATAGAATAATTTGTCAAAACTGGACTATAAAAGCAGTAACTTTGGAGGATATTTTTTCAGTCTGATCTGTTTACCTTTAGGTCATCTTTGACAACCTCATGTTGAACCCAGTGTCACAATTATCCCATACAATCCGTGAAAATACAGAAAACCTGGCTGAAAAAATGAAGTAAGTATTTCACCTTGGATTTGAAATGTATGTTTGCTGTGGAGTTAGTGTGAGAAGCGGAGGGGGGTTATTAACTGCTTGTGAAAGACACTGGATTGACATCCTTGTGAGGTGTGGTTGTCTGCATACAGAAGGGGAACAGCACAGGGAGTAGAACTAGAAATATGGCCATTAACTTTCCACTCTCAATCGATTTGTCCTGTAAGACAGTCTGTGCCTTAATTACCAAAGTCCTAATCTGGCTGCCTATAATGCTGCCTGAGGAGGTTGGCAAAAAGCCACACACTTTTCTGTACGTGACTTGACAACTTAGTCCTGGACAACTGATGACACTTTTTAGTGTGGGCTGCCTCCAGTGGTACATCTTAATTTTGCTTTAAAGAAGTCTCCCCTGTAGAAAGAGGGGAGTACATTCTCCACTCCATTCAATGTACTGTCCCCTGTTCCAATTTCATCAAGAGTGCAGATCATGAAGAATGGATTTTGGGATGCCTTCTTGGGGTCGGATTGTCAGTCCATAGAACAGCCATCAGGTGGGAAATGGTTTGGGGTTGTTTCTGAGTTGCAGTCAAGAGGAAGGTACATCTACTGGGCCCCTTGGCTGTGTTTTGTGTCTGCTTGATACTGTACACATGGCTTACTTTACTGGCGTTTTCACAAAATGTATGATCTTGTGCGCTTCAGAATTCTCTTTCAGAACTCTGAAAGGACCTGGGAGGAGATGGAGGCCAAAATTAACTCTGAAAATGAAGTGCCAATTTTAAAGACCTCAAACAAGGTAAAGGGTTTAACAAGAAAATAAGGGGCTGAGAGACTTGCACAGCACCATCCTATGGACTTAGGGATTCTCGAAACAGATGCATGCCTTTATCTTAACAAATTTTAATGGTGTTTCAGTACCAGAGTCTCTTATACTTTTTTGTCTTCATCTCAACACCTAGTAAGTGGCACATGATCATGGTTGGGAAAGGCATTCATAAGAAACAAAAGTGGTGAGCTTTGAAGTCAACCAAATGACTTTCCTGGATTGTTAGTCCAAATGTATACCTTGAACTTTTTCCTTCTTCTGTTTTAAGATGCGACTGTTAGTTATCCTTGATGCAGGTGGGACATAGGCTTTTTACCATTATGTTCTCTTCTTCTATAGAGATTGGGTGCCTGTGACAGACACCTGGTTTCACTTAATGGGATTCCCCGCAGGAATAATGTGAAGCCTTAAGCATAATCTTAATTTTAAGTATGTAAATAGTTCAGATGATTCAGTGAAACTATTCATGCTTAAAGATGCGTGTACATCTTTAAGAGCAGGATCAAAGTGTCTGTACTTGCCAACCCCTTTGTATTATTGGGATTCATATGCCTGGCCAGCAGCTGGAATCCCAAATAAAATAACTCTTAACATTTGTATGAGCAGCCTGGTAACATTTAGCAAAGTATGGTAGCCCAAACCCAAACAAGCCTTCATACATAGATACAAACTTTGTTGTCTGATAATAAAATAACTGAGTTTGAATTTACTTCATTAGAAAAAGGTAAAAAAGTTAAGTATTACATGTAGACTTGTTTCCTGAGTGAAATGAATGTTTGGGTAATTAACTGATCTTCTTGGCTTCTTTCATGTCTAGGAAATCAGTTCTATTCTAAAGGAGTTAAGGAGAGTTCAGAAACAACTTGAAGGTTGGTAATTTACAATGTTCTCAGTTGGTCTCTTATATGTAAGTGACTTTTACTAAAATATTCTAAAATCCTTTAAGAAGATTTATTGGTTGGTTTGTCAGTTTAAGCTTTCTAAATGTGAAGTAGTCTTATTCAGAGTGTACATGTTTGTGTGTGTGTGTGTATGTACAGATTAAGTGGTGGGATTTTTTTCCCCTACTTCAAATGTAAAGAGAAAATTGCTGATTTCTGGTAGTTGGAAATGATTGCTGCTGAAACATTTTATTCAGGTCTGTTGCAATTTCACTACAACATGGAGTAAAAAAAGCTTCTCATCTTTGAAACAGGCAAATGGTTGGCAACACTTCAATCAATTTGCCATATCTTGGAGTGTTAAGCAAGCGTTTGTGTTGGCTTGAATTGTGTATGTAAAACTCCATGCTGTAGAGATACAAACGTTTTTGTTATGTCTCCAGTCAAGATTACATGTAAAAATCTCCTGATTGATGAATGGTTGGACCCTTGCACTTTCTTGTAGAGGTTCACTGATAAAAGGAAAATTGACATTATTGGCAATCAGCTTTTTTTTGGCTGATGTGGCTGATAATGCTGCTGATTAAATGCCCTGTGCATACACGCAGCCAGGCCTGCAGCCCAACAACTTAGAGAGCAGTTCCTGGCTGGTAAGTCTTTAGAGGGAAAGAGGCCTGGGGACAGCAGATGAAGACCCTTGTGGTGAGGAAGGGAGTGGGGCTGGGGCAGGTGCTGCCCAGCTATGGGTGGGGTTGGGTGGGGGGCAGTAGTGGAGCTGCTGGCTCATCTGGGGGGTGTGGATCCTGCTGCTTTGCGCACCCCAGGGAAACGCATGTGGGGGGGCATGTGCCCCCCGGATCTGTGCGCAGGGCAAGGGCAGGCTGCTTGCTTCAGGCTGGAGCTCAGGAGCTGCACTGGGCACTTCCCAGTGGCTGCGCTTGGGCCAAGTAGGGCAGATGGCAGTGGCGCTGGGAGGGGGGCTACGGGTGGGGGGGCTAGAGCCACCTCTGTAGCCCCCCTCCCAGTGCCACCGCTGCCACCCACCTGGCCCAAGCGCAGCCACTGGGAGAAGTGCAGAGCAGCGCATTAGTGTGCAATAGCACACAGATCCAGGGGGCATATGCCACCCGTACCACCCCTGAGGGCGCACACAGTGGTGGGAATCGCCCTCCTGGACATGCTGACAGCTGTGTCCCATGCCCTTCCCTGCCCCAGCTGGACAGCACCTATCCCAGCCCCAGCCTCACTCCCTCCCTCACCACAGGGACCTCGATCTGCTCTCCATACCCCTTCCCTACAGCAGATTTACCAGCTGGACATTGATCTCCAAGCTGCTGGGCTGCATATCGGTAATTGGTATCAGCCCAAAAAATCTTTATTGGTGCTCACCTACTTTCTTGTCCCATTTTCCATTTGGTCCAGGGTTAATTTTACAGAAAATGGAGTGCTGTGGCTAAATAAGAATTACCTAGTTTTGAAAGTGAGAATTTTTTCTTTTTAAAAAATTTCCTGAATGTTGCTAATCTCTTTCTCTCTCTTTTCCCCTTTCCACAGTTATAAATGCAATCATTGACCCCACTGGGAACTTGGACGTGGTTGCAAATAACAAAGCATCCTCTGCTGCTAAACAATCTAGTGCTCCTCTGGTCAGGACTGTTAACATGGCTGGGTCTACACTGGAGACTTTGTCCCCAGTTCAGATGAGAAACTACACTCAGAAATCGAACTGTGCATCTTCTAGCTTGCAGGATTCTAACTTCATTTCAGATGGAAAGAAATACGTGATCTGACACACTATTTTGTATTGCAGTCCTATTGTAATTTACTGTGGCGTTAGTATTGTGTACGAGTGGTTGTGGACAGTTATTGTGTGGAGCAGTTGTTTAGATTGCTAACACGTTGCACAAAAAAAAAAGATCTATGCTGTGTGGGTGAATGGCAAGTCTGTGTATGCCTTTTAATCAAGACTAGCACTGTGGAGCAGCACATATTCAGCATAGAGGCAAGCTATGATTTTGAGAAAGCAACTCACTTCAATTCTTCTGACGTGCCATAAAAATAACAGGCTTTGTATATCCTCCATTCACTACTGCTGAAGCTCTAAAGTGTTCTTGCATTAGCCTGTTTATAGCGTTGTTTCTGATCGGTTATAATGAAGCTCTTTGAAAAATATATATACCTTTTTTGGTCAACACTACATTTTTTTAATTGAAACATGGTGCATTACTGTTCTGTAGGAATCAACTTGCATGTCTTGCTGTGTGATGATGCAGTACAGTTGGTTTCTGTTTTGGTTGTATGGAAAACGTTTTCAGTGTTTTTGCATACAAAAGAAAAAGGAACCATTTCGAACATATCTGCATCATGCTTTTGATCCAAAAAAGATGGTTTGGTTTGGTTTGGATTTTTGAGTCTGGGGAGTGTGTACAGATGGATTACAGTGAACTAGTAGGATTATGGAATAAAGAGTGTGAACAGGAGAGGGAGAATGGGAGGTGTGAGGCATGCACCTGTTTTAAAACCC